GGGACAGAGTATCCCACCAAGGGCGTGGCCCAGGGGCTTCCTTCTCCGCCCAGGCCTTGGGTGCTCCCATCCCCCATTAATTAGGAGTTCATCCATGGGTTAATCTGCCAGTGAGGCCAGAGCACTCATGATCCAGCCACCTCCCCCAGCCCTACCTCTGGATCCTGCTGCACTGGGGACCAAGCCTCCAACCCTTGAGCTTTTGGGGGACATTTAAGGTTTAAAGTAACCTTCTGCCCTTGGCCCCTGAAAGCTCATGTCCATCTCACAAAAGCTTCAGTACATCTCTGAGTCCCCATAGTCTCGATAGTTATAGCATGCTCAAAAATCCAACTAAAGTTTCCTCTGAGACTTAGGGCACACTGTTAGATGTGAACCCCTATAAAATTAAAAAGAAAGGTCCACACTTCCAAGATACAGTGGCATAGGAGAAAGCGAGGGGTAGGGGAGTATCAGGGAAGAATTGGATCAGAGCAGTACCAAAAACTAGCAGGGTAAGCATTATGTCCTGTAGCTCCCTGTCCAGTATCCCGGGCCCATGTTGTCTGATGTGAGCTTGGGCAGCTTTGCCCTTACAGCCTCGGTGTCATTGTGGACCATAGAGGCAGGAGCAGCTCCCCAGCCCCCTTTGCCTTCCTGAACACGTTTGCAGGGTGAGCCAGCGAGTGAATGGGGCTCCTGCATTGTCTCTGGCCCGGTAGAGGGGGTCCTGATTGCCAGGAGAAAGAAGGGTTAGGAGGGCATGGATCAAGTTTTGCAGGATTTGTGACAGTGGTTTCTTCCTTTGGTCTGGGTCATGGGACTCACTGGGGGGGGGGTTGCTGGGGAGAGCACCATGCACCCCTTCCATCTGGGAGCAGGCTGGCCTTGCTCGTTGGCCTTCTTAGGCGTGCTTGATGGTGCTTCTTCATGGACTGGTTTATAAAGAAGTGTTGGCCATGGTCCCCATTTTATTTTCTTTGAGAGTTAATCCCTATCTTGGGTTTATTTTCTGTTCCAAACCAGTCACAAGAGCCATGGTGGCATTCTCTGTGTTGGCCAGATATGCTTCACAGGCCAGCACGGTTTCAGTAGCTGTGAGAGAGCAGGCCAAGTAAAGGAGTGCATTACCTTTGAAGAAGGGTTACCTTATTATGGTCTGTGACTAGGATTCTCAGTAATTTGACTCTTTCAAAGATAGGGTCTAACTGTCTTCACTTAAAGTTCCTAGTCATTCCAGTATTTGCATAGTTCCAGATTTATCTGATGCCTGATGCGTGCACCAGAGCCCCTGGTGAGTGCAGAGGTGAGCTGTGTTACTGCTACCAGATGCCAGCCAGGGACTTGCACCCCAAGGAGTGTGTGACCAGCACACAGTGGAGGTACTAGGGACTTATAGCAGGTAGGCAAGGGAAGCTCAGTTTTGACTGAGATGCCATCAAATCGAACCTGAAGGGAGGGAAGGGCAGTCCCTCCGGGTACTTGTACCGGGTGTGGGGAGTTTTGCCGACAGGCCCCAGGGCCTTTCTGGCCCTGGCAGTTTGAACCCAGAGGGGTTGAGGAAAAGTCAGGGGCAAGATGGCCAATGCCCAGGTCAGGTCCGCCAGGGCAGAGGTGAGCGGGAGCTGGACCTGGGTGAGGCTGTGTAGGGGCGTGGCAGCCTGCACTTCATAGTTGCTGAGACTGCACATAGGAGTTTAAGCTGGGGCCTGATTTGTATTCTGAGCACCTGATCAGACCTCCCACTTCCGTGTATCGAACTCCTGCTAGGTGCCACGCTATGGCTCACTCAGGTCATAGGACAGAGCTGAGATATGGGAGGATGGGGCCAAGCTAGGACTCAGAGACTGCCGTGCTGCAGGGAACAGCAAAGCAAGAAGAGGCAGGGATGGCTTGGGAGGGGCAAAGGAGGGGCGCATTGCTTAGGAAGTGCTTGCATCTCAGTTGGCATGAGGTATTTATTACAGATCCCCTTCTGCTCTGCACTGAGGAAAGTGATAGGAAAGAAGAGCTGCCTGCCTGCACAGGAGGGAACATGCGTGAATCAGGGAGGGCCAGAGGGCTGGGTGTGGGGCTTTGGGTTCTTTCCTGAGGGTAATAAGAGGGACCATCTCAGGGCTGGAGGCAGCTGCGTGGCAGTTATCCCAGAGCCAGGGCTACCAGTGTCTGGGCTGACTGAGTAGGGTGAGGTGTTGGCAAGGTCCCCCGTGCCCTGTGACTGACTGCTGGTGTGCCTGGGATATGCTCCGGGATTGCTGTTCAGAGGGCTGAATTCATGGAAAGAGTGAACACGCTCAGCAAGAGAGTAGCTGCCGGGTTTCAGGTGCCGGGATGTTGTAGGAGGCCGCTGGGGGAAGAGGGTGTGCAGCAGAGGCGTGAGGTTGGACAGCATCAGCTTGTTCCTGTGGGACTGGGGGTCAGTGCTGTCCTTGTCCAGTGGCGGGTTTCTGGGAAAAAGGGCAGAGCTGGTTTATGTAGGGTCCCATGACCATGGACTGGTGACTTGGTGGCCCAGAGGCAGAGGTGCTCCCCCAGGTCCTCCTGTCTGGGAACTGTTTCTTTAGAGCTGTCAGATGGTCATGGGGGAAAAGATGGTGAGGCTGGAGGGGACAGGGGATGGGGGCTAGGAAGGGCTGGATAAGGGGTGGCAAGGGGGGAGGGCAGGCTCTGGGTGACCACCGGCACAGCTCAGCAGAACTGGGGTGCTTTTTGGTAAGACACCTCCAGCTTTTTCCTCCCTCATATTTCCTAGATTTTCTGTAATAAACAGACATTGCTTTTGTCATCTGGGGGAAAAATACTGTAAAGATGCAGTTTCTGAGACCAATTTAGGAGCTGTCTGTGAAGCAGCTCTCCCTCTGTCTCAGTAATCATCCTCATTCCTGTGGGCTCTCAGTGCTCTGGGGCTACGAGGTGTGTGGCAGGAGACACAGTTTAGTCCCTGTTGCAGGGAGCTCACAGTCCAGTGGGGACACCAGGTCCCTGGGAGCCCATTTGGTATGGGTCCCAGGGGCCACCTCCCTCTTTATTTGCACACTCAGATGGTGCTGTGGGCGGATGTGACAATGGAATTGTTCACTGTTATAGTGATGGCTTTTTGCACATTTTTCCCCAAAGCCCTCTAAAGTTAATTTTCTTGGAAAAGTTACTTTTTATGAACATATTTTATAAATCTGGGGTGCATCACTTTGTGGTAAAATGAGCTAAATGGTGAATTCAGTTGCTAATTTAGTTCATAATTCAGAAAACCACTATTGAATCCAAAGGGGGCATTGAGTGCTGACTACACCCTGGATGGAGGTGGATGAGCTGTAAACCGAAGCTGATGAGGTGATTTGCCTGTTTACTTCACACATCTGAAGTGCAGGGAAGTGTTTCATCCTAAATGTGGCCGTAGAATTTTTCATTTGTTTTATGATGCTTAGAACATTGCAGCTCAATTTACTTCTTTCCTGTACTTTTATTTTCTCTCATTCTTCACTGTTTCACTCATCTCCGTTTTCACCTACTGCAATTTAACCTTTAATTAAAGAAAACCAAAGGTGTCTGGTCTGTACATGAGCTTTGTTTTTAAGCCAAGACCTTGGTGTAGGGGCTCCAGATGCAAACTAGAAAGCCCCCAGGGTCTGCAGGAAGAACCAACTCTTGTCAGAACCCAGTGGCAGAACCCTTTGAGACCTGTTTCCTGCCTTCTCCTATCAAGGGGTCGCCTATGTCCTAAGGGATCATCCACTTTGTGGAAGCAAGCTGAAGGCAGGGCCAGCACGCCTTTGCTGCTGTCCCTCCGGCACCATCATTGGGTGCTGCTGGTGTAGTGTTTGTGGAGTGACTTTAATATAGGGGAAATAAATGTAACTCTCAACCTGCTAGATGTCAGATATGCTGAGTTCTTGTTCTCCAAATTCAAGAATGAATTCTAAGGAAAAATGGAGGTTAAGAGTAGGAAAACTTTATTGAGAGAGATAGCTCCTGAGAGATGAGGGGACCCAAAAGTGAGTTGCCAATAAGCCCACTTCTCAGAGGAAGTTTTATAGAGCAAATCACGAGGTGGGTACAATGTGGGTCAAAACTGTGATCAACCAGTAAGATTATAAGTATAGCCACTTAGATAATACTGATCCATTGGGGAAGCAGGTCACATAGCAAGTGTGCATGGAAAGAACAAGGACCTTTTTAGGTAGAGATGAATCAGGAGGTCCTAGTCACCCACTGGAGTGAATGATGATTATGTAGACTTTATTGGACCAGGTGATACCAATTATAGTATATTGCTTATCCCTGGGGGAGGCCTGTAGGCCTGGTCATTTTATCTTCTTCTTGAGGCCTGGCCTTCAATGGATGCGCCTCCAGCTACAGTTGTAATGTGTTCTCATCATTTGCACTGACTCCCTCAAGGGCCTTGCCCTGTCTGACTGCCTAGAATATTTCTACCTAACTTAGCTGTCTATAGTAACTTTAGTGAATGGCATTGTGGAGAACATCAGTATCTCATGGTGCTCTGTGAGTGAAGCCCAAGCTGGGGAAACTGCTGTGCACATGCTCAGAAACTACTTGATTTGGAGGTGTTGTTTTGCTGTTTTTGTTTAAACTTTCTGAACTCTGGGAAAGACAGCCCCGGTCAGAGCCCTGAGATGGTATTGATCTTGGGGCCTTTCTCTTGTGGGCTTTTCTCCAAGCTGACACTTGTCCTCCTGCTGTACCCCACTTCCTGGACGCACCCCCCAATCCTTGTGTTACATCTTCCCCCTACATTCTTTGTCCTCTTCCTGCCCCTCACTAGTGGTGACATTTGAATGGCGTCTACTTGTTCTGGAAGGGTGAGTGTTGTTGAGACCCCTCTGGGGTGTCTGGGAAGGTCCTCTGCAGAGCAGAGCTCCCTGGGTATTTCTCTGGTGGCCACCCCTGTGGAATCCTGTTTTTTGTCCAGGTCCTTCCACCTGTACCTAGGTGGGAGCCTGTGTTATGTCACAGGGTCGGAACCCATAGCCCTTCATTCATTTTCATTCCTTCTTCCACTCAAGAGTCCTTCCTGGCTGTGTCCTTGTAGTATCATCAGGATGTGCACAGATTGGACCCAGAAAACGTAACTGATGTTCCCTGCTGTTGCTTGCTGGTAACAGGTTAGTCCTTCCTATGTTTTCCTTTCTTAGATTGGAGGATAAAGTTTCTCCATGTGGACGTGAAGCATGCTGAATGTTTTGTTCTGTGGTGACCTCATTACACACTCTTGTTATTCAGAATGGGAAGATTGGTTTAATGAAGGATGGTGGTCAGCCAGCCTTGGTGTGAAAGGCTGCCTTGCTTATTCAGCCTTCCCCTTCTGCAAGCCTGCCTGATCCTTCTGGGACATGGGGTTGTCCCAGAGGGATCTTTCCTCCCTCTATCCCGCCTTTTCCATCCCTCCATCTTTCCATACAGGATATTATTTGCATACCATATGCTTCACTCATTTAAAATGTTCAGTTTTTGGGCCGGGGATTTGGCTCAGTGGTTTCTCCGCCTGCTGCGCAAGCTCAAGGACCCGAGTTCGATCCCTGGTACCAAAAAAAAAAAAAAGTTCAGTTTTTTAGTATAATAATCATACCATAATGAATTTTAGAAAAATTTCATCACTACAAAGAGAAACTCCATATGAGTTAGGAGTCACTTCCTATTCCCTCTTCCCTAGGAATCACTAATCTACTCTCTGCCTACCGGGATTTACCTACACTATATACACCTGTGTAGTATATGTGTATATTACACATTCGTAAATGGAATTGTACAACATATGTCTGGCCTCCTTTACCTAGTATATATATATATATATATTTTTGAGTACGGGGGATTGAACTCAGCAACTTGTGCTTGCGAGGCAGGTGTGGTACCGCTGAGCTCAATCCCCGACCCTACTTAGTATATTTGTAAGGTTCATTCATGGTCAGCCACATAGCACACTGTGGAGTACCTGGTTTTCCTTCCTGATCATGGGGATGGTTGGGAGCTGTGGCTTGGTGCTGCTGCCCAGCCTTGAGAAAAGGTGCTTCACTGCATGGTGTTTGTGTTAGTGTACTTTCCCATTGCTGGACACAGTACCCAGCACCCACATCTTAAAGGAGGAGGAGAGGTTTAATTTGGCTCATGGTTCAGGGGATTTAGTCCACGGTCAGTTGACTTCAGGGCAGAAGTGGTGTGGTGGAGCAAAGCTGCCCACTTCATGGCATCCAGGAAGCAGAGAGAGCAGGGAAGAAGGATCCTTCTTGTTTCCCTTTTTATTCCATTCAGGCTACAAGCCTGTTGGTTGGTGCCACTTACATCTAGTAATGGGTCTTCTCTCTTTGTTAAGTCAATCATCCAGACACATCCGGGTCTGTGCTAAGCTAATTCACTAGGCATTTTTTTTAAATGCAAGTTGACGCCTGTCACAAGTGTGAAGTAAAAAGAGACTTCATATTTTTCAGAAATGCATCCTTGAGGAAGCCTTCATACTTTGACCCTTCTGGGTAAATGGGGCCATGCTTCAGGATGTGTCTTATGTCCAGCATCCCGAGCACCTTGCCTTTTGGTAAATGAGACAGGCTCCAGGAGTGTTCATGTCTAGTGTCTCAAGCCCTTCACCATCTGGGTGAATGAGACACTGTTCTGCCTGTGTCTGCCAGTGATGTGTCTGTCTAGTGCTCCAAGTCCCTCGCCTTCTGGGTAGATGAGGCCATGCTCTATGGCATGTGTCTAATGCTCCAAACATCTTACTTTTATGGGGCCTGAGCAGTGTTGAACAAAACTGAAAGGGCTTTTAGACACTTAAAGTCTATACAGATTAATGTAACACACACACACACACACACACACACACACACAGAGCACACATGTATCTCCTCTAGCATAGGGAGGAAGACGTTGTGCTCACGCAGTTGAAGTTACTGCATTTTTTCCTGGACCCAGTTTCTTCCCTTTTGCTCCGGATCATCACCATTTTAAATTTTAATTTCCATGCCAGCAGTAGGAGTTTTTATCAATCATGTATGTATCCCCAAATGGTCTGTAATATTTTATTTATTTATTTATCTGTATATAAAAAATTAACCTCAACCCTTTATTTCCATACATAGAAATAACTTGAAGGGATCTATGAACCTAAATATGAAAGACTAAAAGTATAAAACTTTAAGAAGAAATTATAAGGGAAAATGTTCATGAATTTAGGGTAGGCAAGAACTACCTACGATACAAAAAACATGATGTATAAAAGAAAAAAATTGATAAATGAGATTCCATCAAAATTTAGAACTTTAAATGACAT